GTTGGAATGCATTGAAAAATGCATTCTTTCTTAACTGAGGAAGATCTCCCTTATAGAACAATATCTTCTTCTTCTTTGTAAGGTCACCTAAAAATTAACATATGCTAACAATCAAATGATGAGAAGTTCCAATTGTATAAGTAGCAACACCATTGATAGTGGCAATCTAAAACCTTAGAGTGACTTTTCTTTTTCACTACTAACTTTGCTATTACAAAAATGCATTAATGGCTTTTATATATGTCATTATTGAGTTCAAGTTTGGGAAGTGTGTTAGAAAAAGATTTATATTTGTTGAGAGAAATTTTTACCTGTTCTCACCATTGGGGAAGCCATCACATTATGCCTTGAAGTGATGAGGTAGATTTGACTTTTGGAAGAAGAGGACTTATCATGACATCAATCCATGGAAGTGTTAATAAATCCTAAAGCAACTTCTTGACTTATACAATAGTCAGGAACCTCTTATGTATAAATCTATAGAATATCCATTGTATATTTGCTAACTTAACTAAACTCCACTATGTATTTTGCTAATGTACAATGTTCACCACTTGTAATGCATGTGACCATGGGATAAAATTTAGATATACTGTTACTGTGGATCCTTGGAACTTTGGGGGATACATAGGGATAAAATAGCCATTAAAGGTAAGCAATTGCCCTTTTTCCAATTAACTTAAGGGGAGAGAGATAAAATGCGTTATAGTTGGTATTAGAGCAAATAGCATGGGTTGGATTCCCATTAATTAGTGGCTACTTATAAATATAATATACCCTTGAAAAAAGTATATTCCTACCTCTAAATTTGAAAAATCGTATGTATTAGACATCCAGTTGCCTCACATGGAAACATAGTAGGGGTTGTTAGTTAATAATCAATGATGACATTGACATATCTGAAAGGGATATTAACATACATATTAACCCCTAAACCTCCAATACTCTAAATGCTATGGATTTTTGAGAATAATCACCAAGTCCCAACCTATGCTCTTATATACTCATGTCATGGCTATTTCTAATTACAAATTAACTTATTATCTAAGGTAACCCCCTAAAACATTCTGTAACTATAACAGAATATTTTTCTAAATATTTGTGGGCTCATTTGTCGCTTTTGGTTGGGTTTCTCTGAGTTGCTCATCTATATCAAACACATCATCATTTCCAGCCTTTCGCAAAACTTTATCTAGATCAATCTAATTCTTATTGTGAAAAAACATAATCTTGAGTTGACTCACATGAAAAGCTAGATGTATTTACATGAAAGTTGTTGGCAATTTTGAGCTTTCGTAAAATTGCCTCAACAATGACATAAAATCTCATCCAATTTTGCTGTCAAATTCAATATTGACATCCATAATAAGTCATTTTGATGATCTTCTGAGCCATTCATGTGTTAAACTCCTCCAGGTCTTCTATCTCTAAGCCTTCCTCCCCTACCCTAGGCTTAGCCGATCCTTCTTGCTGCTCTTGAACAATAGACAAGACCTTACACGAGAGAATCAATTACTAGCTCTACCTCACATACATAACACTGTAAGTCTTGAAAACTCAATCCAAATCACCACCTCATCAACAACACATCTATCTTATTTCTCTTGGGGCATGTCGACCTGTAAACAAATAAAACAAAAACCCATTGCTAAGACGATTGTTGTGGCCATTTGTTGTCCAATTACGGCCTCTCTTTTGAAAAGAAAGAAAGAGGGCAATTAAGAAACAAGCTTAACATACCTCGGCTTAATCTAATGCAGTAGCGATCTCCGAGTAAACCTCCCAATGCCCTAGGCTTGATCGCCATTGCCACGCCGATCGGACGGCACACCTCTCTTTATATGCGCGACCACGTTGGATCTGCGAATTTAGCGCTTTTCTAAACATCGCCCCACTTCACGTTGTGCTTGGCCGCGAGATAGTGAGCTCCCACGGGACCCCGGCTTCCGTACGGGTATAACTCGGGCGCCGTCTTCTTTCTCTCGAGATCTTTGAGAAGAGGAGTGAAAATCTTCCACGCCGCATCCAGTTCATCGCTCCTGATGAAGAGACGGCGCTCTCCAGCGATGGCATCCAGCAGCAATCGCTCGTAAGCATCAGGGATTTCTTTCGAGTATCTGTTACATAGGAACTTTAGCTCGTAAAAAAGAATAAAACTGTTAGCTCGTTCTACCTGTCTGCGTAGAGGAGGTCCAGAGTGCTTCGATCGAGTCTCATTCCCAGCCCCGGGACTTTGTTGTTGATCTTGAGATAAATGGCTTCGTCTGGCTGGACTCGAATCACTAGCTCGTTTGTGGCTTTGTCTAATTCCGTACCGAGGTTCCGCTTGAAAAGATTTCCAGGGACGTGTCTAAACTGAACTCGAATCTCGGTCCTGTGAACCACACACGAAACAAAATATGAAACTTTGCGGAATCCAGAATGCAGCAATTTTACGTACCGTCTGGTTTGCAAAGCTTTTCCGGCTTTCATAAGAAATGGCACGCCATCCCAACGAGCATTGTCTATGAAGAGAGCTGCTGCTGCAAACGTCGGGGTGACGCTGTTCTTGGGCACGGTGGAATCGTCTGTGTAGCCGGGAAATCTCACACCGTCTTTGGAGTAACCTTTGTACTGACCAACAGCAGTATCTTCGATACTTAGAGGCCTCATAGACCTTACAACTTTTACCTGGAGAAAACGAGTAAAATCTCTTCATACCGAGGCAAAAGTTTAGCTTACTTTTTCGTTTCTCACGTCTTCCGCATCTAAGCTTACTGGAGGCTCCATTGCAAACAGGGCTACAATCTGGAGTAAATGGTTTTGCATGATGTCTCGAATGATGCCGTAGCGATCAAAGTACCTGGAAGAAATGTTAAGTCGTTTTACAAACAAAAAAGATGCGTGAAGCCTACACACCCTCCTCGTCCTTCGGTACCAAAGTCCTCAGCGAAAATAATCTGCACGTTTCGAATGTATTTTCTCGACCACAAGGGTTCAAACACCAGATTGGAGAACCGGAGAACCGAGAGATTTTCAACAAGTTCCTTTCCAAGATAGTGATCGATGCTGTACGAAAAAAGAAGAGACTATCAAGCCAAGTAAGAGAAATACCTTCTTACCGATATATTTGATCTTCATTCAAGTACTGCTTAAGTCCACTTGTTAGCTGCGCGCTAGATTCCGAATCACGGCCAAATGGCTTCTCCACAATCACACGAGTCCATCCTGTTGACGATGAGGCAGCGAGGCTGCCACACTTTGCTGCGTCCACGAAGACATTGGGAGGAACTGATAAGTAGAACAAGCGGTGTGCAATTCTTCCTTGCTGCATCAAAGAAAAGAAAACAGAGAGTAAAATTCTCGCAAGTTGTTACAGCACGGAAAAACTAGATACCTCGTGGCCTTTGAGCTTCTCATTTAGCTGAGCGAAATTCTCAAGCGAGTCATATTGGCCAGGGTGATAGAAGCAGCGTTTCAAGAATTCCTCCATCTTGTCTCCACAGTTTTCACTGTAGGAAAGAAAAAAAAAACAAGTCGTTCTAGATAAACACTTCACGCAAACCTTCTATCGATCCGGCAAGTTAGATTGCCACTGATTTTCAATCGCAACTCTTCGTCGGTCATCTTGCTCCTGGCGTAGCCACACACTGTAAAATGCTGCTCTACGTAAGAGACGCTTCTTTAAGCCACAAAACCTTGTGAATATAAAAACGATGGATTCGTTCTTACCTGGGGAAGATGGCCGTCGTAGAACAATGCAAAGAGGGCCGGAAATATCTTCTTCTTTGCAAGATCACCGGATGCCCCGACGATTGTGATGCTAACAGTCGAATGAGAAGCGCCGGTGGTAGCAGCGACGCCATTGGCATTGGCAATCGCAAACTCTGGAGCTTGAGGAACAGCTGCCGCATCTGTGATAATCCTGGATCAAAACGCAACGCACTGCTCAGCATTCACATACCGAGTGAAGGCGAAGAATGCGCGTGGCAAGCTACCGCGGCTCGTTTCCCCCCAGAGACTAGCTTCCCCCCAGAGAACTTGAACAACCCTAGACGCAGAGAACGAACGGGGCTTGTGAGAACAGGAGGAAGCAATCCACGAGCACAAGATGCTTGTAGAATATTCGTCATAGCACAGCCTTGACCTAATTTTTCAGTATTAATGTTTATTATTATTATTACCTTTCTTAAATCCTTATATTATTGATAATAATTAATTATACTTTTATAAATTCAAATATTCATTAATTTAATCAAGCTCAAGTATTTCTTCATTAGCGGACAGAGCTTTCACCGTCTAATCCATTCTTCACTATGATATAATTCATAAACTAGGTTCCTGTTGTTGCTATTAAACTTGGTTTGGCCAAAACATCAATCACTTTATCGCGTCCGCCCATGAGAAATCAGAGCCAATTGAGCAATCTAGGAAATAGTCAAAACATTGATCTCCATCTTTTCTAAGGGCTTACCTATAACTCGGAAACGTATCCTTCCATGAACTCTCCCAAGGTTCCATGGGCTCCAAACCGACCGAGCAGTGATTCTGGCAGAACTCTGCAGCGTCGTCAAGATTTTCCAAACCCAAGACACGGCACAGGAGCTTCCACTCACCTTACGTCTGGCAGAAGCTATCAGATGAACAAAAGACCACGATGATGTCAGGTCCATCAGGAAAACAGAAACAATATCACAGAGCTCTTGCAGATCATGGTCTTGCTTGAGTCCTCGGGGCAGATGATCACAATTGGTGATATCTATTGACCATCTTCAACTTGGCCTTCTCAATCATGCCAAAGTACTTGTGCGAATCATTATTTTGCATTTCTTGTACAATCTTAAACTTCAAGGCGAACGCCTCTTCGTCCACAGTTGGGAAACGCATCGTTAGAGTGAATTCTATATAGTCAACGGTCAGGTAGCATATTCCTCTAGAATATTTTGGTCAACTTTAGGGCTAAGTGTTACGGATCCTTTTAACAAAAAGAAGCGGGTCGAATATCCTGCTGGAATATTATTGACCTCAATGGAGCTGAGAAGGCGAGGGCGTGGCGATGGCGCTTCCCAGGCGGCCGACAGCGATTCTAGGGCGGAAATGGAGCCCCAGCGCCGCGCTTGGCCATACATGGCGCTTCTCGCGCTCCAATACGGCATCCAGCCTATCATCTCCAAGCGCTATAGCGGGTAAGATTTCGTCCCTTTGGATCCTCCATCAATCGTGATTCATCGCGATCGCGGATCTGGTGTAGGAAGGAAGTGATCATCTCCACGACGGTGCTTGGATGTGAGATTGCAAAGGTATGTCCATTGTCGAATCGAAAGGAATTTTTTCTTCTTTGCTTTTTCCGGCCTTTGTTAAGTTTTAGTGTGATCGCACAGACTGTGTTTGCGCTCGTATTTATGTTTCTCGATGGAAGTATTTGGAAACTTCACAAGGAATGGAACGCTATTGACGCATTGACAGCGTCAGCCCTTCCAGCAGGAATTTATGCTGTGCAAAACACTCTCTTGCAGCTCTCGTATCGTCACCTCGATTCGCTTACGTTTTCCTTGCTCAACCAAACAAAACTTCTTTTTACAGCAGTGTTCATGTTCTTTCTACTCGGGTAAGGATCCATTTCTTCCAATTTCCATTTTTCGTGAGTGATCATGTGTGTTATTCTTCGCAGGATTACGCAGACAAAACAGCAAATTGGTGCTTTGCTCTTGCTAGTCTCGGCCGCTGTTCTGCTTAGTCTTGGTCAGAAAAGCTCCAAAAGCTCCGGTGATGTCGATCCGGAGTCGACTTTAATACTTGGAGTAATTCCGATCCTAGTTGCTTCAATGCTCTCCGGGTTGGCATCGACACTTTGCCAATGGGCCGCCCAGGTACATCATTCCCTTCCCCTCTTTTATTATTTCTCGTGCCTCACTATCTCGGGATCCTGTGCCAGGTGAAGCGTAGAAGCACGTACTTGATGACTGTTGAGATGTCAACTTTCGGAAGTCTGTTTCTCGTCGCAAGCTTGCTCAAGTCGCCCGACGGAGAAGCGATCCGGCGGCGTGGTTACTTTTCCGGATGGACCACGCTCACCCTTGTAAGTCGTGTGGATTCTTCAATCTTGCGGCACTTATATGTGCGCATCCTGTTGCAGCTCCCACTCTTTACAAATGCATTTGGTGGGATCTTAGTTGGCTTAGTGACAACATATGCTGGTGGGGTTCGAAAGGTACGAAGAAGAGAAAGAAAAAAAAATCTATGTTTCTATTTTCTGTCGCCGTAGTGGAGCACCCACACTCTCACACACACACACACTTGCTTTTGTTGCAGGGCTTTGTTATAGTGTCTGCTCTGGTGGTCACGGCGCTCTTGCAATTTGCTCTCGAGGACATTCCGCCCTCCATCTACGTGCTAGTGGCGATGCCAATGGTCATCTCTAGCGCGGTCATATATCAGCGATACTCTGGTGTCTCCAAAAAGAAGAAAGCGTCCTAGTTTTCCTTTGGGTAAAGCTCTTTTTTTGACTCTCTCTTTTCAAGAAATCCATCGCTGGGTTGGCTCAAGCTGATTGATTGTGCACTTTGGTTTGCTTGTCTCAGGCCGAAGCTCATTGTTAAATGGGGCCCTGTGTATTCCTTCCCTCTGGCTAGGGAGGGAATCACACTTTTGCAGCTAGTCTTTTTTATATTTCTCCTCCTCTTTGCGGTGGAGTGACGGAAGCAGAGTTGACTCCTTTAAAACGGGCCCGTGACGCAAGTTACGCTTTGATGCATCGACTTCTAGAAAGCTACAGGTACGTTCTGCGTGCTCGCTGCGTTGTTATCAATACAGCTACTTATCGAGTGAGCATTTGGACTTTGTGGAGGGAATTCTTGCAGATTCTGCGGGAGTTTTTTCCCGAATATATCAAAGCAGCTCGCCACCCTGTGCCGCAAACAGCGCGAAGCGACTTGTCACCTACTTGGTCCAGGGAGAGAGATGTGTTGCTGCTGCTGCTGCTGTTGCTGTTCGCGAGAAAGATGAAGTCGAAAAGGAAAAGGGGCGGCTTACTTGGCGACGCTTGGAGCGTGAAAGCAGGCATGTATCTTTGAATTTCGATGTGTTTGGAGATTTTGCTCCCGGTTCTCAGGTCCTCTGTGCAGGTTGGCCGAAGCTCCTTTTCTCCAAACGAAGGTCAGAGGCACAGGACACGCAGCTTTATCCGTCATGGATGGGCGTATTAATTGCGAGAATGAATCAAGTCAAAGAAATGAGCATAGCCGTAAGAGCACCACCAAACTTCGGGTAAAGTCTCAAGCTGAAAAATCGATTTTTTATGCCAGGCTGATTGATCGTTCGAAGTCAAAGGATTGGCTTGGAGGAAGAGGCGCGTAAGCTTCCAGAGGATTGTTCGTGATCGCAAGTGAGTTTCTTTTTTACTTCTCCTTTTGTTTCGTGATCTCGCCTCGCTGTTCTCTTGATCTTATAGCATGAATCTTCACGGAGATCGACGGGATTAAAATTTTCCAAAAGGTTCGCTCAACGAGAAGGCCACTAAAAAATGTTGGGAGAGATTTACGAATTCCAAGCGGCGCGTGAAAGCTGAAAACCGAATTAAAGAGGATCGATTAACACTAATGCGGCCATTCCATTAAGCTAAACATCATAACGTCCGTCCAGAAATTACCTTTGACCGTCATTTGTAAAGAAACGAATCTCTGGCGCCGGGAAATGCGCTTGTCGGAAAGGTGACGGCTGACGGGCAAGAGCGCCAGTCAGCCCGTCAGCCCGTCAACTATCAAAACCGTCAAAAACGTCAGTGCAAGTGGAGTTAAGAAAAGAAAAATAAAGGAAGACGCAAAAAAACTCGGCTATGGTGATATAGAAGAGAGCTTTGGCTGCGTTGTGTGTGTGTGTGTGTGTGTTATAGTTTTTATAGATAGTGTGTGTGTTCTACGCTAGCTATGGCGATGGAGGAGAGCTAGGGTTTCGAGAGGAGCGCGCAGCTAGGCGCTAGGCGCTGCGGCATCGGGCGCCGAATCGCCAGATTGACTGGGAGCTGCGTGGAGGGGGAATGCGTCGCGGCGCGCTAGGGTTTTGTGATTCCCGAGGTAAGATCTTCGCAGCGCCCGGAATGCGTCCTCTGCGCGTCGCCGATTTCTCGCGGGATTTCGCAGATTCTCGCGCAACGCTCGCGTAATATTTCGCAGTGATCCGGCTTTTACTGCTTTCCCCGGCTGCTCGATCTCTCCTCCCTCCTCCAGATAGAGAGAGATGCCGGGGATTTCTTCTTTCATGAGCCGCGGGGAGATTGGATCTAGCGGCAGCAGCAGCGGTAGAGGCAGCGGCAGGGTTTGTGAAGGCTAACAAAGATCCAAACGGAGGCCGAGCGAGGGCCGAAGAGGCAGAGGGAGGATGTGATAATGGGAAACAGCGTCTCAAGAGTGGTGAGCTGCTTCGTTCCCAGGCGGGAGCACGATGGGGCGGGAATTGTGCTCTCGGATCATCCTCTCGATGAAGGCCTCGGCCACTCCTTCTGCTACATCAGGCCTACATTGGACTCCTCCGCCAGCTCGCCCGCCCAGCACCAGTCCGGGGACTACTCCTTCTCCCACTCGACGAGCTCGTCCATCCACACCGACTCGGAGCCATTTGGGTCGAGCGTGGAGGCGGAGGAGCAGGCGCCGGCGATGCCCAGGATCAGCAAGAACGCGCTCAAGTGTACCATCTCCGAGACCTCTTTCAAGGCCATCTCGGGGGCGTCCGTCAGCGCCAACACCTCCACTTCCAGGTCGGCCCCTTTGCTCGATAGCTTCACCGCCTTCTCCAGTGTCCCGGCCGCGGCGTTCGAGAGCACGCCATCGTTTACAGCGCTGCCACTCCAGCCGATACCCAGGGGAATTGCTCACTCGGGACCCATCACTGGATCGTCAGGCTCTTGCTCGGGGCCGCTGGAGAGGGGATTTCTATCCGGCCCGCTGGAGAGGGTGTTCATGTCGGGTCCTCTGGAGCGGGGGTTCCTGTCCGGGCCCCTGGAGAGAGACAAGGGGGGCTTCATGTCTGGGCCATTGGAGAGGCAACTCTCCGGGCCTCTCGAGCAGGGAGGAGGTGGGCATTTTTCCGGGCCGGTTTTGTATCCTTCCGTATCGCACAGGGGACGAAAGAAGACGCTGGGCGAGTACGTGAAAGATGCAAGCTTGCCGGTTCGTCGGGCCTTCTCCAAGACGGTTTCCAACATCGCTCGCACTAGGAAGTCACTGGTTCCACACCGGAAGAAGCATAGAAGAGGTGGTGATCGCGACCAGCAGCATGCGAGCGAGTCGGTTGCGGACACTTACTCCATGTCGTCGGAGTTTGACGCGAGGGAGAGTCACCTTCAGTGGGCACAGGGAAAAGCCGGGGAGGATAGAGTCCATATAGTGCTGTCTGAGGAGCACGGATGGATGTTCGTGGGGATTTATGACGGCTTCAATGGCCCAGACGCACCGGATTTCCTCATGAGCAACCTTTACCCGGCCATATACAAGGAGCTGCAACGTCTCTTGTGGGACCAGAAGGAGGCATTTCAACTTTCGCAAAGTCCGTGCTCGCAGAGTCTACTTACGAAAGCGAGACGTGAGATCGATGTTGGTGCCAACGGTGGTTTGGCGAGAAACGGCATGCAGGCGACGAGGTCGAGGAACTACCCCTCGCCTATGGATTGCCAGGACGATTGCAGCTCACTGGGAGTGATGGAGCTGGACGGGAAGTCGTCGGAGGATAGGCAAGGCACGAGAGCTTGCGGTGGTGGCGAGGTTGACGGCAAGCAGGTCAAGCTTAAGTCCATACTGGGAGTGAAACTCAAGCAGGCATGCAGGAGGAAGCACAAGGGTGGCAGCAGCAGCAGCTACAAGAAGCTGTTCCAGTGGCGGTACGACTGGGAGCACGAGAGGCTAGAGTCGGAGAGGCTGGGCAAGGCGAGCGTCTGCGAGGAAGTGGACAGCCCGCCAATCCAGTCGAGGAGAGGCCGGGTGGATCACTCGGGCGTCTTAAAGGCGCTGGAGCGGGCACTCGAGGAAACGGAGCACGCCTATCTCGAGATGACGCAGAGGTCCGTGATGGACAACCCGGAGGTGGCGCTCGTCGGCTCTTGCCTGCTCGTCATGCTCATGAAGGACGAGGACGTCTACATTATGAACGTTGGCGACAGCCGCGCGGTGCTGGCGCAGGACACAAGGTCCTCTCGCAGCGGCAGCAAGTGCCAGTCGGTCCACTCCAGCGACAGTAAAGAGGCCGAGCACGAGCGCATCGGCGCCAGGGACTCGATGCTGCGGATGGAGCTGGAGAGGATCATCGAGGAAACCCCGACAGAGCTTGCGGCACTGGAGGCGGCGTATGATGTCGGGGACCTGGCGCCACCGCCTCTCTCGCCAACTTTGGAAGCTCTCCAGCTCTCCTGCGATCACAGCACGAGCATTGAGGAGGTGAGTTCTCTTTTCTGCCTCTCTCTCTCTCTATGTGCACGCCACACACACTGACTTAACGTTGACAGGAGGTGATGCGTATAAGGATGGAGCACCCGGATGATGAGGCATCTATAGCGAATGATCGCGTCAAGGGAAGGCTGAAAGTGACTCGAGCTTTCGGCGCGGGATACTTGAAACAGGTGTGTTCTTGCATGTTTTTTTTTCTTCTCCTGTTTGTTCTAAACTTTAGCTCTCTTTTACCAACACAGCCCAAGCTAAACGACGCTGTTCTCGAGATGTTTCGGATCGATTTCATTGGCGACGAGCCGTACGTGACTTGCACGCCCTCATTGCAGCATCACAGGCTGGGACCCCGGGATCAGTTCCTGGTGCTCTCCTCGGACGGTCTCTACCAGTACCTCAGCAACGAAGAAGTGGTGGCTCATGTGGAATGGTTCATGGAGAAATTCCCAGACGGTGACCCCGCTCAATACCTTATTGAGGAGCTTCTCTTTCGCGCTGCCAAGAAAGCCGGTATGTTCTACTAGTTCTTATAGTTCTTTAGTTCTTAGCATGGGATTGATTACCAGGTATGGATTTCCACGAGCTGCTAGACATTCCCCAGGGTGACCGCCGAAAATACCACGACGACGTTTCGGTGATGGTGATCTCGCTCGAAGGGAGGATTTGGAGATCATCCGGCTGAAAGAAAGAAAGACGATCGATCGATCTGGCAACCCCGGAGATTGGAATTTTTTTTCTTCTTCCAAGGACCAAGACAAGGATCAAAAAAAAAAGAGAAGGAAATCTGTGTGATGTGACTTTCTTGAAGAGGCACGAGGACTTTGCTCGCGATTTTGATTAGTGACAAAAAAGCATATGATACTGCGCGCGGCTGTAATGGATGATGATGGCTATTAAATTTATTCCCAGGCTTCTAGATTCCTCGCTATCTCTCGATCGGGTCGGGTGGAAGGAATGGGAAATAAAAAGTGTTTCCTGACAACGAAAGAAGAAAAAATCGTCGATTCAAAGGCTTACTTTCATCGTTCTAAGTTGGCGGCGGTGGAAAGATCTAATCTAAAACACCGCACTGCGCCAAGCAATTCTTCTGGTAGCTCGCTCTCACTTTCGGCCTGTGATCCAGGAAGAAAAAAGGAAAAAGAGAATTTATCGACCATCACTATCATGCTCCTAAGGAAATTGGTGGCTTACCCTCAACGAGAATCCCATATCTACAACCAACGCGGATATGTACCCAAATACGATGCTCATCACTCCACGGACTATTCCCGACGATCCCATATTCACATCCACCTGTGTAACAGCACCCAACACTCTTGTAAACTATGAAGCAAGCAAACCAAATGAAAGCTTGGTTTATTACCTCGATGTAGTTTTTGCCTTTGTGATAGCTGCAGTCCAGGATCTGGCCGAGTACCACGGCTCTCGATCCCACGGCTTGCCTCACAATCCAAGAGCCCTGGGTTCATGAAAAAAAAATGACTAGATTGAACAAACGAACTTTGTGTTACCTCGGGAACTGAGGGCAGCAGAAGAAGGCGTTGATTCCGGAAGTTGTCATCTTTGTGTATAAACTGATGCAGCAGCGACCCTTCCAGTATCTTCGTACGTGTTGCGAAGTAGTAAACCAGGCTGTAGTAGTGACCAGAGTGAGGAACCTGCGAAGGTAAAACGCTGGTTATGCATTTTGGGCATCGAAAACTAATTACCTGCAAGTTGAACGTAAAGAAAAAGGCGTCCTTGCTCTGTTTTTGAAGTAAAATACGGACGAGAAAAATGAGGCGTGTCCAACAGAGAAAATAAACTACCTCTACCTCTGAAATGCCCCGTAAACAGGAGACATTGTCTAGTTTGTCCTTGCTTTTGTACCAGTCTGCCGCAACAAGCTTAAAAATCGGTTCTTCCGCTGCAACCTGGTGAAAGGAGTTGAGAGAATCGAAACGCACCAAACGAATGATTACCAGCAAACCATCTCTCAGGTATCTTTTTCCTCGAAGTTTGAACAAGCTGCTGTCGGGCTCGGACACTGAATTGCGGCCAACTCCGCGGGACAGCGTTCCCGAGAAAGAGCACCACTTTTGCAAACCATCGCTGTGGCCATTGTATGCTGCAACATACACATAAGGTCCAAAAGCAACTCGGAGAAGATTTAACAAATGCATACCTTTGGCATTTCGAAGCCTTTCGTCTGATACATCGCTATGACTCTGAAAAGACACACGCAGAAGAATATATCAAATCAAGTACGTTTGCTTTTCCAAACCTCTGTGTCTGAAAATTGGTCCGCGCGTGCATCGAAAAAATCCTCCGTATCCGACGACCCGAGGAATGGTGTGGAAGCAATACGTTGACGAATATTGCTGGCAGTGGCTGGTTCTTCCGTTACAACGATTGAATTTTCTCGGGGCCTTGGCATCATATTGGACTGTGTTGAATTCATTCGGTGCGCAGCAAAGTAGTCTCTTACACCTGCAATGGCACTAAGTAATAGGAATCACTCGTGTCACAATATATAAGCTACCCGCAATAACGCTCAAGAGATTGTCTCTAAGGTGGATACCATAACTGGAAGTTATGCAGCCAGGCCAGCCACCAGCGTCTATTTCAAACACGCTCTCCACCATACACTTTGAAGGCGTCAATGGGGTGATCATATAGCCTCCACCTTCATTCATCCGACATCAGAGCCATTAAGTACAATCCTTCGCTGAAAATTGTTTTGTCTTACTATGTATTGTGGCACGAACATGTCCAGGCTCAGTTGCCTTCCTATCCACTGACCTGTAAAAGATAGCTGTAGAAAAACCTTAGTTCTCTACATGGCTCTCAACATGTATAGCTTACTGTATGCTCCATTGTCCTCACGCATCCAGTAGCGTGAAATGCAAAAGTCTCTCGGGCTCAAGTACCTGTAAGAAAGAATCTTAGTAATCACGGCGACATTCCGAGTTCATACTTGCCGCCAATCTTGCGTCAAGCAAACATGAAGAACATCGGAATGGTCGTCTATAACTTCCACAATCGACGCTGTTTCAACAGTGTGATCCCATCTATACAAAACAAAACAAATCAAAACAACAAACGTTAGCTTATCCAGACATTTTAAGCGTGCTACTCACTGGAATCGCTCGGGTCCATAGTTCATGATCTCATCAAAAATAAGGTCCGCCTGGCCTTTCACAACTCCGACAGCTTTCATCACAGAGACCTGTAAGGTACAAAATCCTAGTCAATGGAGACAAAACCATGACGAGAACAGAGCTCACCTTGGACCCACTACACATCTCCTTAAAGAACCTCAGGCCTGAAGCAAACTACGGTCAAAGCAGGCAAATTTAAAGACGAGCAGTCACCATTCTCACAGCGAACAAGTTTCCATTTCGGCGGATCTGGAAAAGCTTCTGGAGTTCCGGGCTCCACGACAGGTGCCACTGCCAGCATACTGTCATAACTCAGCAAAAAGAAAAAGATTCCTAGTTGACAAACCCTTTCCAATTGTCCTGAGACGCTTCATGCTCCAGGATCCTTGCCTAGTCCTGGAAACGAGCACAAAAATTTACTCGGAGATACTTTCTTCCCTACACGACATGCTCACATACTGAAGCTTTCAGTGGAAGGCCATGAGTCCAAACAAGATAGAGCTGGCTGTAAAACAAGAAGAAACAAATCAACCAATCAATCTAGTCACTGGAAAGAAGAAAAAGTTACAGGAACTTCTTTCGAGTAATCACACACACTGTAGAGACGAATCGTGTAAAGAACCTGCCAAAACAGGACGATCACTCTTGCAAAGCTCTAGATTTTTTATTTCCTCGAAGCGATCGAGACAAAACCTTGCCGTTCACCAATTGCCGCCCGGTATATCACCTACAGTTCATCCACATTGATCAAATCGAGGTTTGCCACATACCAGATCGTCCTTGTGACGCAGCTCCGCGAATCGCTGGCCTAAAATGTGAGCACGCAGTGGATTCCACCGGCCTTGCTCGCACCGAAGCTGTCAGTCCTGGCGCCCACCCTCATCATCCTCTCTCAAGAACCCTAAAACTTCTATACAAACATTTCTTTACTTTCCTTTTTCCCCTTGATTGCCACGTTACAGCAAATAGAAAAATACTTTTTTGATTCTTCTGATCTGACTGTGCATGCATGGATGTGAATCTGGAGGAATCATGGGGATGATTCTTGAAATATTTTTGAGATCATGTTACATGACATCAGAAACTCTTTTGCCATCCACTCCAAAAAGCTGAGCACTAGGCTTTTATTTTTGCCTCCTTTTGTTTTTTATTTGTGATTCTTCTAGGATGTGTTCTGACTGAGGTTGTATAGAATGTGCCCCAATTGCTCCATCCATGTGACATCCAGCAAGCAGCCTCAACAAGTCCTCCAATACAGAATCAATAAAACACTCAACTGGCAGACACCCAACCACCACAAAACAATTCAATCCACTCCAACCTCCAAAAAGAGAGGAATTCATCCTATCAAAATCGAGTGGTGTGTGGATGGAATATCCCACATTCATGGATTAGGGTTCAGTGTGAACCAACCAACTGGGCACATGGTAAAATGTCAGGCCTTGATGCGAGCACATGCACGCACGTTGCGTTTTCTGACTTTTGGCCTTGATTGTAAGCTCGGGGGGACGGCTCAGATGTGCCCTCAATAAATGCGAATCGTTGGTTCGTTGGTTTAAGTCAATTTCTTTGACTCTCTTGAAGATTAAAGGGCTGATTAGCACAAGTTTACTTACGAGTTTTTCTCGAGACAGTGGTTGTGGACAACATAGTTACGGTATTCAACCACGCTGTACGACTTCCCATGCGTACGTACAGTAATAGAAAATTCTTGCTTCAGTCTCTGTGAAGCACATGATCATCACCTCCCAAACCTGGAGCTATGATCCATGGTGGTTTGCTTTAACCTTTTCTTTGGTTTTCTAAACCATGTGGTCGCTTTCACACGCATTAATACTGGCTTCTCCACTATAAAAGCCGCTGAAACGCCCCCAACGCAAGAGCAGAGCTTAGTAGCGAAGAAGAAGAAGACGAGGAAGAGGAAGAGGAAGAAGAAGTTCCTCCTGCCGCGTTGAGGAGAAGCTCTTTCTTCCTTGCTTGTTGGTAATCGATCCAAAGTTCCAGCATTTCTTCCTTTCATGGCGTCCTCCAAAGCCACATTTGCGCTGCTGGTCCTGGCAATGCTGCTTGTCTCACAGGTACGCAATTCCTTCCCTCTCTCTTCTCTCCCCGTGCCAGATCTAAATCTGCTTTGTCGATCTTCTTCTCCACGCAGGTTCAAGCTTCTTCTCTAGTGACCGGTTCCAAAGCAGTCGATGTAAGTTCCCCTGCCCGAATCGAAAGTCTCGTCAGTTTCTAACCCCGCTGTGTCTTGGATTTCTTGTTCTTCCCAGGTCCAGAAGAACAAAGGAGGCCAAATCCAACCGCAAAGTAAGCATCACCTTCCGACTCTGTTCCGTCACACTGCCCTGTTTCTCCTCCTGACGATCCTCTGTTTCTGGTGTTCTTTCCGCTCAGGTTGCACGAATCTCTGTAACTACCGCTGCTCTCAAACTCAGTACCACAAGCCTTGCATCAAGTACTGTAACCTTTGCTGCCAGAAATGCCTCTGCGTTCCCCCCGGCTTCTACGGCAACAAGCAAGTCTGCCCCTGCTACAACAACATGAAGAATGCCCGCGGCGGTCCAAAGTGCCCGTGAAGAGTGTATCGATCGCCCGGCACTCGACGAGATCTTACTTAGCTTCTTGCAGACGGACTTGTATTGGCATGAAAAAATCTGCCCATCTGTTTCAGAAGACTCTCACCAAGTTGTAAGAGAATGAATACTATGGCTTTCTCCTCGCTCATCTTCTCCGCGATCGAACGGCAATGGGCGAGACACGTGAGCTGACACGAGCGCGGCTTTTCGTTGGCGAAAAGCTTTCCTCGACAACCAACTTGACTGTTCCTGAATCTGAATTTGTTGACTGGACTAGCTAACAGCAATAAATCAGAGGAAAGTTCGCAAACATAGATTCTATACCGAAACCATCTCTCCTTGTGATCGTCCAGTTGCAAATCAGTGAATGTAGAAACAAGTTTAATAAACTAACTAAAAAGTAGTCGTAGTCCCAATGTTGATCATGCTAAAAGATAAGCCTGCAGATTTAGCCTGGATTAGGGCGCAGTGCTGCTATTAAAGAACAGAGCCAAGGCGTTTAAGGGCGCCCCGCTTGATTGTCTTCTGGTTCTGGGGACGGCCATAGATGTAGGTGATTAAATAAGGTTTGTGGAAAATTAATTAGCCTGGAGTTTTGCTGTAGGTTAGGTTACATCAACCAACACATTTAACTCAAGATATACCACCTTGTTTAGTTTTGTTTGCTCTCTTTGACTATGAAGAGCCCAAAAAAAGTATAAAAATCCCCTTTGTAATATATTATATCAGGAACACTGCACACTTACTTGAACAAAACTGTTTAAAATTAATTAGGAAATATGAGGCTAATGGGAAAGATGCCATTTTCTCACATGCTCATGGAATGTGGTGATGATTTGGGGTTTGGCTTGTTTGACTAGTATAAAGCACTTGGGTTTAGGACCAAATTGCTCTTTGGCGTACCTTTTCAAGAGTGTCTTATCAAATATAATACAGGGTTATCAATGAGAGTTGAAGGTGGTAAGGTAAAGTTTCTTTTGTCTCTCTTTAATGATGAACTTAGAAAGTCACATAGCATAGCATGTGTGAGTAGGACACATAAATTGCCTCCAAATTCATCATAAAAGAGAAATAGCTCTCATCTTGTCATATGTAACTTTGTATTCTATAAATAAAAAACAATTTTAGAATAAAAAGGTTAGTTGGGAACAAATTGGCAAAGCTTGGATTCTTAAACCTCCTCAGTGGACAATGCAGTATATCTAAACTTTGTTGAATAGACGATGCCTTTTGTATTTTTTTAAATTATTATTCTAGTTTTTCTGAATCCAAGATTTTCATATATAACAAAATAAATGTCAGGGATATTAATTAATATTAGTTTAAAATGTTAATTTAATAATATCTGTATCTCAGAGTTTAAATATTTCGCATTAATACTGGCAGATTAAGCGGCACAAATGCAGAAGAGCCGAAAAGAAAGAAGTTCTGTTTGAGGACAAGCTCTCTTCTTAATTCCATGGCGTCCTTCAAAGTTACGTTTGCACTGCTGCAGGTAAGGAATTCCGTCTTCTCTAGTCGCTGGTTCCAAAGTAGTCGAATTAAGTTCCCTGCACGAATTAAAATCTCTTCGATTTCTAACCCGTGCTTATCAACTTCCAACTCTGTTCCGTCACACTGCTCTGTTCTCCTCCTGATGATCCTCTGTTTCTGGTGTTCTTTCCGCTCGGGTTGCACGAATCTCTGTAACTACCGCTGCTCCCAAACTCAGGACCACAAGCGTTGCATCAAGTACTGTAACCTTTGCTGCCAGAAATGCCCGTGCGTTCCCCCGGCTTCTACGGCAACAAGCAAGTCTGCCCCTGCTACAACAACATGAAGAATGCCCGCGGCGGTCCAAAGTGCCCGTGAAGAGTGTATCGATCGTCCGGCACTCGACGAGATCTTACTTAGCTTCTTGCAGACAGACTTGTATTGGCATGAAAAAATCTGCCCATCTGTTTCAAAAGGCTTTAGATTAGTTGTAAGAGAATGAAATGGATTCAAGTATACCATACTCTCTTTCGCTTTACCTCCTCGCTTTTTCGCGACCAAACGGTGATGGGCGAGACACACAAGAGTCACTTCTCGTTGGTGCCGAAACGCTTTCCTCGATAAACAGCTTGACTGTTCCTGAAATTTGTTGACCGACATTAGCTCGCTAAGCAGCAGTCAGAGGAAAACAAAACTAGGTACCTTTCAGGAAAGCGGCTCTCACATGATACCAATAAAGAAACCGAAAGCGACATGGTCCTGCGTTCTTGTTCCTCTGGCGACGATGTGAGCGAATCAAACAAACAAACCGAAAGCGAACAGCACTTAACTCGCGAACGCATCGAGAGCGGCCTCTTTCTGCCGTGCCGACAGTCGGTGTCCAATGCGCTCGTCTATCATGCCTGTAAGCTCTGAGAACATTTAACACCAAGTAGTTAGGCCGATACAAGCAGCGGTTGGGCAACAGTTATGGCGAGTAACTTCCCGATCGAAAATGTATTTCATACAAGGCAGTGAGGAAACGAAAGCATTGCACACTACACGGCACAGAGTATATGGCGTGATTCACTTCTCTCTGGAAAACAAAAGAAAAGAACAAAGTGAGTCACTCAACATGAAACTTGACTTTACCTTTGATCACTTGGACATCATCATCTTTACAAAGTCCTCGTAGTTGATCTGCCCATCGCCATCCACGTTTGCCTCGCGGATCATCTCGTCAACTTCGTCGTCGGTGAGCTTCTCCCCGAGATTCGTCATGACGTGCCGCAGCTCCGCCGCGGAGATGAAGCCGTTTTGCTCCTTGTCAAACACGCGAAACGCCTCCTTGAGCTCCTCCTCCGAGTCGGTGTCTTTCATCTTCCTGGCCATGAGGTTTAGAAACTCGGGGAAATCCACGGTGCCGCTGCCGTCGGCGTCGATCTCGTTGATCATGTCTTGGAGCTCCGCCTCGGTGGGATTTTGTCCGAGCGATCGCATCACTGTTCCCAGCTCTTTGGTCGTAATGCATCCTGTTCAAAGCCACAAAAGAATGTGAAGTTCTACCCAAGAGCTAAGATCACTTCACTCGAAAGAACAAGAATCTAGGAAACTCTTTAAACTAGATTCAAGAAGAATGCCAATTGTCAGTGCCAAGAACATCGAGCAAGAAAGCTAGACACCCTAAACCGATACTTCCATGAGAAATGCCAGGCACAGAGAAAGGAATCGGCATGAAGAAAGAGCGCAAATGCTGGATCAACATTACGAGCAATGCATCCACAAACCGCAAAGAAACTGCGCAAGAATCAAAGATTCTACCGTCGCCGTCCTTGTCGAAGAGGCTGAATGCCTCCTTGAACTCGGAAATCTGCTCCTCCGTGAGCTCCTCCACCATACTTCCTCGCTGGATCGATCGGTGGATTCAAAAGAGAAATCTCCCTCGCCGCGACGCCCTCGCAGCTCGAAATCGCGGATGAAATAGCCCTAGCCGTACACGCCTTGTGGCACCGTGTACGGCAGCCAGGTAGTTGAGCTGACTGACGGCGCGAGACGTCCGTTATCGACCCGCCGACAAATTGCCGTACACGGAAACGCGGGAAAAAAGATCCTCACGTACACATATACGACCTTCCCCAAAATGCGCCTTTCCCGAAAAAGACCTGCCCCAAAAGAGACCCTGATTGCATGGTCCCGCATGCCACGTCATGCACCCATCCATGGACAATTTTTTTTTCTCCTTGTCCCTTTCGGAAATATGCTCCACTCACTCAAAAAAAATCACTGAAACCAGCAACATCTTTCTTCTAGGTGTATCAATCAATCCTACAACCAATGAATGATAGAGCAATTTTTTCCAAACTTGTCCATGTAAGATAGTGACTCTTCATAAGAATAATAATATGAATAACAATAAGTTGTACAAGCACTGAGGTATGAAACGTAATAATTTTCTTCTTGATCTCCAAGCATAGAAATGTTTTGCCTATATGACACAAGGAATGTGCTATCACTTTGTTTTTGCTGGTTGCTGGCCAGACCACTTCAATGCACCTCACCATTCGATCCATTTGATCGAAAACATCAGCTGAACCGAAAACTCTCTCGATCTCAATTTGCGGTAAAAAACTCTCTGGAGTGACCGATCCACAAATCCCGGGCCGGAAGAGAACTTGTTTACTCTACATCATACTTAAGCTTTCTTGTAAAAGTAGAATCCACTTGTAATGGATGTTGGTCATTGTGGCTGGTTATTTTTGTCACGGGGTTCAACCGGTGCTGATCATGATCAATGGCTGCTGTCTGATGACGCTTGAATCAGCGACGAACGCCGCCCGCCCCGGTTCGGCTCATACAGCCTGCACTCACACATACAGTGATATACTTTGGAGACAAGACATTTCAGGGACTTAATCAAACGACTCGTATTACCCAAGCTGTAATGACGTCTGAAGGTTTTGGTCGCTCAAGCTGCTCTGCTGCTGCTGCTGCTGCTGCTGCTTCTGGATATGAATCTGCATTTGCTGCGAAATTGCCTGCTGCTGAGCCTGCTTCTGCTGCTGCTGCTGCTGCTTGTGTTGTTGCTGTGATCTGCTCGAAGACAAGGACAAGGACGCATTTCCGAAGCTTGGAGGTTCCCTTGTCTCCAGTGGGTTGACGCTTCCCTGCGCATGGTCGGCAAGCTGCGAAAGAAGCAGGATTTTTCCTTGTGTGATTCAAAAAACAGAACAAATTTGATGGGCATTGCATTACTCGTCGTCGCAGCATTTCGTTTTCCTTGTGCAGCTGGAGCTCCTGTTTTTCGTGCATGGGCGATTAGCGATTCAGCTTTGGTAAAAGTTTACCCGTCTGCGCAGGTCCTCGATTTCGTCGAGAAAAACTTGCTCCTGGTGCATGGAGAGTGCACACTAGCTTGCTCAACATGGATAGCATAACGAAATCAGCTCCTCAGGAATCTAGATATTGAAAAACAGGAAGGAATCTATAAAAGGTTTCGACATTGACCTTTCGAGAACGTATTCTGTTGAGCCCAAGCTCCAGCTGCTGCTCTAGGCTTTGCAAATCTTTGAGAGCCAAGTGAGCGAGATCGTCACCCAAGAGATGCCTGGCAAAGAACTCGAGAGAATCATTCAAAGTATATATATAGAGTGTATATGATCATACCTTTGAGTTTGCTGTGAGCGCTCCAGCTGCTGCTTCAACCTTATGACTTCGCGGCTGAAGTACTACAACATATGTTATATTGAGACTCTGATTAAATTTCCAATGAAATTCTTTGAGAATGCATGCGAGCCACAAGATGTTTGAGTGATCTTGTTTGCTATGAGAAGAAAGAAAAGAAAGGAGAAAAACTTACATCACTGTCGTGGTGCTGGCTTGCTATATTCCCGCCCTGGACGCTCTCAGGGTACTTTCCATACCTATCCAATATCTCCTTCATACTAATGACATCCACCATCCCACCAAGAAAAAAAAAATCGGCCAGCCATACAATCAACCAAAAAGAAAATGGGAAGAACAAGTCAGTCACAATTTTATAGACAAATCGTCTAGCTATAGCCAAGAAACCCAAAAAGGAAGTTCCTCTTGAAGTGTTACTGTTCCAAAAGATGAGCAAGAGAGAGAGAGAGAGAGAGAGAGAGAGAGAGATGGACAAAATAAAAACGCTGTGCTGTGCGAAGTTTACACGAGAGAACTAAAGGCAACACATCCCAGCTGGAGATTTGGAGGGTACCACAAAAAAGATCGTCACAGAACCACGCAAAGAACAGGGACTAGCAGTAGACTCGCAATAGTAGTACATGGCAAAAGGAAGAACAAGAAAGAAGCAAAACTTCCAAAACAATGGACACCATAGCCACCATGAGCAAAAGAGGAAGGGAAAAAGAAAAAACTGCCAAGCAAAGCAAAACCACTCACCTTGTACTGGCGTATTCGAAAAGTTTCCCTGTGCTGGAGAAGATGATGAGCGCAACTTGAGCGTCGCATAGAACTGAGAGCTCGTGAGCTTTCTTGAGTAGGCCCCCGCGGCGCTTGGAGAAAGTAACTTGGCGGCTGGTAGCGTTTTCGATTCGCTTAATCTCGATCTTTCCTCGCCCCACGGATGGCTGCTGCTGATGATCTGACCTCTTCTCCTGGGGAGATTTGGCGCTGGATGCCTGCTGATGGTGTTCTTGCTGCTGCGCCGCCGAGGAAGACGATGTCCCGAGGCTAAGTCCCTCGGACTCCATAGCTACCTGGTGCTAGTGATCTCCCTCTCTCTTTTCCTGCTCGATTTGATCCGGGGCCTAATACCCATGAGCAAATTCAGCAGCCCATTGCTTCATCCAGATCATTGATAAAAATGATGGAGATCTGGATATGGGGTGTTTCTGCAAAGCAAAGCAAAGCTTAAGAGGATGATATCAAGGTAGATGGACAGAGAAGAGATAGAAGATCAAATCACTCTCTCGAATGCTCACTTCTTGTTCTAAACTAGGAGAACCTTTGTCTTGTGGGGAAATAGAAGGAAGTATAATCCATGGCTTGCTCCATCTCTCTCTCTCTCTCTCTCTCCTCCCCTCTCTCTCTAGAGGTTTTGTGCTTCCAGCAAATTTGGACTGCACACTCTCACAGACCGCTTTTGGAGTGGAAAAGGAGAGAAGGAAAAGGAGAAAAAAACTCCACACGAGATACACACATATAGCAGTAGTATGTGCAGCAGTAGCAGCAGCAGCAGATCAGGTCTTTGTTGGGACCCTGGCGTCTATCAGTGTCGAAATGCGTGCTTCACACAAGAAAAAAAATGCAGCCGGAGGATCAAGGACTCCTGATGCTAAGTAGAGCATGATCAGGAGTTAAAAAAAAAAGGTGAACCAAGAACAATCGAAATGGTAAAGGGGCAATTTGGTTGCTCTCAATTCTCCAAAGGCCGATGAAACTTAGCTTTCATTCTTGGCTGCTTTTTTCGTGCTGTTGGCTGCTGCTTGCTCCGGGCTGAGACTCTCTCCTCTTCTTGTCTTTTTTCTTCTTTTTTTTCTTTCTTCTGCTGCTTGCTGCTGGCTCCTGAAGCCCCTCTGACCAAGTGAGTAAATTCAATCACTTCACCAGAAAATAAAATAAACCTTTAAAAAAAGGGAGAAGAACATTGATATCCATATTTGGACATATCTCGCATTCCACAAAGAGAAACAAAGATGGAGCCAAATGCCAATCTTCTCCCTTCTCTGCTCTAAAAGAGGTGTGTGTGTGTATCTGAGAGAAAAACAACAACCTATATAGCTCTTCTTCACTGACTCAAATATAGACTCCAGTTCCCTGGAGAATGAATCAGGTCATAATTAGGCACTAACCACCCGTTAATTGGTCCCTAAAGTAGTGACTTTCTATTTTTATTAGAGAAGGGCACCCCCATACACAAATAGCAACCTGCCTGTTTCCACAGATCCGCCCTTTGCACTTGATGCCGTCACGCGGCTCCACCTCGCTGTTGACACGTGTTTTTCTAGTACATGCCTCGTGGCGTGGCACTTCATCCATCATCTTTTTTCGGCCAAGTGAATATTGGGATATCGTTTCATGGTTTTTAATTTTTGGTTGTCCCCACCCATAAATCATGGAGTGGCTTCTGTGGACACAGGAGAATCACGCCCAGGGGTTTTCGTTAAACATGCCCGGCTCCTTGTTTACATGTGTATTTACAATTTTTACATTTTTTGCTTTCTATTTTTCTTTTTTCCCCTTTTCCTGCATGTGACAATCAATCCACTGCGTCCTGGGGAAGGCCTTACCTGCAAAAGCATTAACAACAACACTGCAAGTTAAGATTGGATGTCCGCACTTCACGTGCAATTTTCTAATGATTTTTTTCTTTTAAATTAAAAATAGAAAATAAAAAACATCACATTTTCTCATTTGGTTGTGAAGTCAACATGTGTCGCGCAAGACATATTCCCATGCTGTCGATTTCCGGAGGAGCTGGACGTTAGGACATGGAAATTGGAAGACATAAATGAAACACTGAGTGACCTTGTCACTACTCTTTCTTTTGGGTCTTAAATTTTCTTTCCTTTTGGCTAATCTAACATCACTAAGGGAACTTGTACGTACGTAAAGAATCATATTTTCCAAAGGAAGAAAGAATGAGTGCGTTGCGTGCACAAAAGTTGCCAAAGCACACACTTGTTCTTGCATGTATGTCAACTTTACTCTTTGTGCTGTTTGGTGTTCTATTCTACCATTCCAGCATTTTTCAGAGTGTCTGAGCTGGAAATTTAAGAGCCTCAAAATTTCTGCTGCGAAAGAAAAAAGGCAAATTGATCATAAAGAAAAAGGGAAAAGTGGCTTTATGCTTAGTTTGTGGCGCATAGTGCACCAGTCAACTTTAGTCAAAAGTCATAGGAAGAACATATATTATGATTTTATGAAGTAAGAAAGCTTACTAGCCTGGATCTTCACTTGCATCACACCAAAGATTTTATTCTTGTTGAGTTGTCAGTTCTAGGATGCCCTCCAAACACGATCTTTCCAAACTGCTCGATATTTTAATTCGTCCAACTCGGTACTTGCTTACCCACTAAACAAATATGAAATGTAAGTTTTTCTTTACCTTATTGGTGGTCATTGGTGGTGGTGCTACTGCTGTTTCTACCCTTGCTCTTGACTTTTTCCAGAAAATGTACAAAATCAGAAAGAAAAAAAAGGAAGAAATGGCACACCAACCAAACCAGCATGACTAAAACTAGCTTATTTACATTGCATTTGAGTCCTGTTGTCCGAAGGCCATGGATCCAGTTAGGTTCCAGCGATGACTTATTTTAATCTCTGCTTGGAATTTCACTCACTTTTAATATCACTTACCAAGCAATGGATACATATTTTGTTGCAACTACGATGCACATAAATCTGCATAGTAGTTTGCATTCTAGCCCAAAAATGCCCTTCAAGAGTAACATGACAACAAGGGGTGTGTTTTTAAAGAGCTTAAAGCCAAAGCTAGGCATCGGTCCCAACACTAAAAACTAAACAAAGAGATATTAAACTTGGTTGCTTGGTTGGGCATGACGCACAAACCAAGTCATTTTTCTTCTTTAATATATACCTTAAACAATGGAAAACCATCGATGTCCAAATACCTTACGCTCTTCTTTCAGTTTTAGTCAAGTTAGTCTCACCAGAATCGAACCTCAAACCACGGAGAAAGTTAGTTATCCGTGATTTCGTTTTGCTTCTTCTAAATGGTGGCGGAAAAAGCTAGAGTTCTCGACATTCTAAATCCAAATAAATGGCATGGCTGCGTGAGATCGAGAATCCCAGCAGCAGCGTCGAGGGTCTGGAAGATCGCTAGTGATTTCTGTGGCCTCCACAAGATCATGCCTGTGGTGGATGTTTGCGACCAGGATGGTGCTCCAGGCTGCGTGAGGTTCTACACAATGGATTTCCCGGCAAGGCTTCCTGGGGGTGAAGGAAAGCTTGGGCCAAAGACCGACTTGTAATGACAACTTTGTGTTGTGTTCCAGGCCGAGGGAAACAACTTAAGCCTCGAGGATTGCCTTGTGAATGTCAGGCTTCGTGAAGGGATGGACAAGAGCACGATTGTCAACTGGTCCTTTGAGGTGAGTGCTCGAAGCCTGACTACCAAAGACAAGGCACTGGGAGATCTCACGGAGCTTGCCAATGCTTACCTTAAAGGATTAGAGATGGCAGCCATGTCTCGTAGCAACTGAACGAGAAAAGGAACTAAGGGAAAAGAGAAAAAAGAATGGAAGAGGAATGTGAGTTCTTCACTTTCTAGAGAAGCTTTTAAGATTGAAACAAAGGTCACAAGGCCCAGCTTACTGAGACAGTAAACAAAGCAGGAAAGTACCATGTGTGCAATAAAAAAACAAGTATTTACATTTCCCTCTTCAAACACAAGGAAGCTACGAAAAGAAATCATATTAAATCTCTGTAAGTATAAGAATGGCCGGGATCAATTTTCTTGCAAGTTGCAGAAAATATGAGAGCTGATGAGACCAATTGCCTTTTTTTTGAGTTGCAAACACAAAAAAAAGGAAATGCTCGGGTGCAGTGCTGGCAAGGCTCAAATGGAAAAGAATTACACATAGAGATTTCAAGTACTTGGCAGTACAACTTGCTCTTTAAAAACAACTCTATGCATTTTGAAGCAGATTTAGCATACCAACTCTTATATATATTTTTATTTCATTTAACTTCTTCAATTCTAAAGTAAACTATAAAACCTAAACTTCAAAAGAGTGGACAGTCTTATGTAATTATGTGAAGATAAGGGTAAACCTTAACATTAAAAGTAAAGTTTTTTTTGAAAGTCCCCTCTTTTTTTATTCTCTTTTTTTTCAACAAATGCTGTAAAAAAGATAATTACCATAAAAAACAAAGGAGAAGCCATATTTTGAACACTTATAACTTGCTCAATATATGTCTCTCCTTGTGACATGATGATAAATGTATTTAAATCCATCAAAATAAATCGTGAAAGTTAAGAGCAAGGCCAAATGGATTCCTTTCATACTCAGTTGTCCTAAATCCATGTACTAGAAATAAAGCATTTAGATAATGTGATATTTATCTCTTGATTGATTATAGAATAAAAGATTTCAATAGGAATATAATTTTTATTTAAATATCAAAGATATAGAAAATATAATATATCCAGCATAATTGTTCAATTTAATTATTGTAAAAGTGTAGCTTGATTGGCATATTGATATATTATTAATATTATATCATGCTAGAAAGAAAAGAATATAATTTTTATTAGCTAAACTAGATAGTAATTAACTCTATGATAAGCCCAAACTCCTTGTTGACAAAGTAATTATTATTGATTGAAATTGCTTGCTCTATCAGATGTTTATGTCAAGAGTATTAATTTATAGTGGTAGTTCCTTCCACACAACAAACAATTGCACAAAAGTAAACATGACTTAAAAACAAAATAAGGACTTAGAGGGGGGGGCGGGGGGTGGGTGATATTGTGATATATGTTTTTTGCTAAATGTAGTAGCCTAGAGTTGTGAAAATCTTTTTTGCAAACATTATTGCCACCTTACTAGAATAAACACTAATACCTTGATGTCTATTGCACCCATGTACGAAGAGTTAGGAATGGCTACAAAGTTATTTCAAAATGGAAGTTAAGATTTTTTAAACACCATGGGTAGTAAAACAAATCCTATCCATTAAAATAATGATAAAATAATTTGGAACATTAAAACAAGGAATGTAATTTTCTTAAAAGAAACCAAAACTAAAATTTTCAGATTTAAAATATTATTTATGAAATAAATAATTTAATTCATCCACAACAACAACATGGTTTGCTTAGTCTTACTTATTTGTTTAAATTTCAGTTGATAAATAGTATTAAGGAATGTAAATATTCATAATTGCACAGATGTCAAAATAATCTTTAAACTTCTTTTGCCAAAAAAAAACACAGTTTTTATTGTAAAAGCTAGTATTTATGATTCCAAAAATTAAACAAATTGAAAGTTTTTTCATAACAGAGTCACAACAATACACTTAATTGGGGAGTTAAATCTTCTTGAGAAAAACTAAAGCCACCTTTTGCAAATAAAAATTTGTGTTATTGCAAGTTAGACACAAATTAAAGTTAGAAATTTCCCTTATAATTGCATTTAATTGCCAATGGGTGACCTAAATCCATTCCCCATTTTCAAAGGTAAAGTCTTTTATCTAGGAGATAATATCACATGAAAGAAAACCATAGAAGAATGCCTCATTTAGCATCTATGTGTATCCTCATGAAAGAAGTGTAAATCTTCCTACTTTTACCTCAAATAAGTTGTCAAAAGGATTTTAGAGGCTAGAGCTAAAGCACTATTATAAGACAACTTAAAATTTTTCTACCTTTTGGCAAGCTTGGTGCCTTGCAAAAAAAAAGAAAAAGAGTTGAACTTCCAAGCAGACAGCCAAGGAGCGATAGAACAAAAATAATTCTAGAGCATCTAATATCCTAACACCAAGTGTAGTTTCTATGAATAAAAATATCTTACAAGTAAAACACAATATAATTTTTGGATAATAGGGCAAAAAATTAAAAAAGACTTTTAACAAGTAGCACAATGAGCGAGAAAGAAGCTATTCTAGTGGAGTAGGTGAGTGTGGTGGTGTGGGCAAAAGATGTCTATGATGGCAGTGGCAAGAAATGGTGTAGCGTGGTGGGAAGCATGTTGGGGGTAACAGAGGAGCAGTATTGTGTTGGTGGGTGGGTGGGGTAGCC